GTTCGGCGGATTTTTGAAGGATTCTGGCATGCGCGCGCGCGGCGACGCGCACGCGTGTACTCTGTCATTGTTTTGCACCGGATGTTCGAACATGGCTGATTTTTGATAAGCGAGTGATCGCGTACGATTATGTTGCAAAGGACGGTGTGTGTGTGTGTGTGTTGTGTGTGTGTGTGTGTGTGTGTGTGTGCGTGTTGTGTGTTGTGTGTTGTGTGTGTGTGTTGTGTGTTGTGTGTTGTGTTGTGTTGTGTTGTGGTGTGGTGTGGTGTGGTGTGTTGTGTTGTGTTGTGTTGTGTTGTGTGTGTGTGTTTTTTCGGGGCGATGCTGGCTGGGCTAGGATGGTATGAGTTTATATCTAGAACGAACGATGGTGCACATTTATATGTAAGTTGGACATCCCCAGGGTGGGGAGACAATCTGGGGGGTGGATCTTAACTCTTGCTTAGCAAGGGAAACTTATGAGACGCAATTCATTTCTCTTCGCAGTGAGTTGTTCCATCCACCCACGCGCAACTGGTTTTGCAAAACCTATGCGGCGGCGATTGCGATGAGTGCTCAGCGTTGGCGGGCGCATTTTTGTGGCCGCGCTCGCCCGCGCATGCTCGCGCGCGAGGCGGCCAGCTAGTTCGGCGCGATTGGTGCGATCGACGCGAAATGCATTCAACCAGGCCCCTGAAGAACCATGCCCCCTGGCTGAGATTTTCCAGGGGGAGGGGGGGCGCTGGGCTGGGGTCGGTTTCCCGCTGCTCGCGCCCCTGGAAGACGCGGGCGCTCGGGGCGTCCTGGACCCGCTGGGCAGGCAGCGTCTCGTGGCCTGGCCCCATCCAGGCCATCAAGTTGCGACCCGATCGATCATGCTCAGCAGCCCGGAAGCGCGCGTGAAACACCATTCCTCAAACCATTCCGTTCTCCCGAGGTTGACGAGGCCATTGTGCAGCGCAACCTCGACCCCGACGCGGGCCTGGGGCTTGCCAGAGGTACTTAGTCGCACGACGGTCGCCCTGGACGCGCGGCGCGAGGAAAGCGGCGCGCGCGCCAGAGACCGACCGCAAGTTCCGCCCGCCGCG